TATCGCCTATAGAAGCAAAGAAAACACAAACGAAGTGATGGGTATGAAGCACGAAACAAAGGGAAATCACCCTATGCACAACAATTCTTCTAGCCGCTCAAGATCTTCATAGCAAAAGGATAGACCATGGAGGGTCCAGCGGACTTGAGAGCGCTCGAGGGAGCAGATGGAAGAAAAACATGGCTAAATTGATTGAGTCGCTCTCGCCAGGGTAGGATAGGCATTTTATAGCCGGCCCGGGAAGATGAATCCAAGTGCCCGTGAAGCAGTGACATTCTTATTAAAAAGTTTTGAGGCATGGGCTCATGAGCAAGCAGCGATAAATAGTGGACCCCAGCTCAAGGTTCTCTACCCATGACTGTGGACCAATCAGGGATACAGACATGATAATTTTGGAATAAAATTACTTTTATCCCAAAATTGGGGGCATATGTTTACACCAGAATTTGGAAGAAGAGTCGCAGGGACTCGAAAGCTCCCAAGATCATGTCATCAAGGAATCAATTGCGTGCAGATCGGAACCAGCTGATTCAAATGCAAAAACTGGAATCAGCTTTCTTCAGATAGCGCCAGCGGATAACGACAAAGGCTACGTTCGGTGCCAGGACGAAACATGTTGGACTCTACAAAAAGGAAAAGATTAGAGTCCAAGTTATCTTAAATTAGGAATGTTTTCTTTAGGGTCAAAAATTGTGATGAGTCATGCTTAGACAGGAGTCATGCGCAAGTCCCGGGTATAAATATCAAGCCCCGGCTATTGTAAGAAGAACAACAATCAATCCAATATACAAGTTATTTACTTTTTCGGCTCCAACCACCCTTAGGAGTAGGAGTAGAGTAGATCTCCGTGAGTTCTTCAGCAAGTACAGCTGCATCGATCCAGTCGATCTCCACTGCTTGTTGTAAGTACCGTCATGACTTATATCTCTGTGCGTACGGCTGCATCGATCCGGTCGACCTCCACTTCGACCATGGTATAAGTTAGTTATTGATTCTTACCTAGTTCAAGTATGGCTGCATTGATCCGGTTGACCCCCACTGCACGAACTAAATCAAGGTCAAGTTATCGGCTCTACCTTAGGATGGCAGTCTTTGGTAGATTCATTAAGTTACCGATATTGCTTATTTCTTTCATTATTTATCTAATTACAGCAATATCACTCGGCCTGATTGGGATTGATCTAGATCGGCCTTATATCTTGTTTAGCCCATCGTTTGCTAATCTAAATTGATCTAATCTACACCTTAAACGATGAGTTATGTTTTATCGGCTATTTTATGTCAATCCTGATCGTGCATAGCATGCGGTTAAGGCATGTTGCCTCTTGAGTAGATTTATTGGCTAGCGAAAATCATTCCATGGCCCATTATCACGGCCTATGTGATTCTGCCTCACACCCCACTGTTAGCACCGTGGAGTGGGGACCGTTATCTGGTAGATCTATTCCTGATAAGGCATGACTTTAGTTGTGCGCTATGCCTGAATTGACTGTTTTAGCCGATATCAAGTGCTTTCACGAACAGTTCACATCACGAGATCGTTGAAGTAAAGATATGTTGAAAGATGTGTTAGCCCCATGATCTTATTATTGTATTACGGCCTACATGATTCTGCCTCATGCCCCACTGATATTAGTAATGAGTTAGGGTCGTTGAGTCTATTGTTATTTCTACGGCCTGCATGATTCTGCCTCATGCCCCACTGGTCATAGCAATGGATGAGATCTAACATGTTCATTAAATTTATCGTTATCAAACAGTCAAATGGTGTTGAATTGTTTCTTTATATAAAAAAAGGGTTCGGTTACTTGTAATCATTGGCTTAGCATAAACCGATCATTGTTGACATCTTATTGCCATTGATTAATATTTGTTTGAATAATGATATTTACCTTGAATGATAACCGATTCTTCTTATACAACCCAATGAGCTTTAACCGATTTATTCGTATGAATATGCAGGAATCGACTATTTAGTCGATCTCCTTTCATATCGGCTCTCATAGCCGCACATTTGGGACTGTCTGGCAACACCGGTAAGTTCCACCCTTAATTACTGATGAACTTTCTCTCCTTGATAATTATAGGGTCAAATTGACTGGCACGTCTCGGGAGGAGTGCACAGGATCGACCACCCCTGTGCTGAAGCTAGGTGGTCTACAGCTCCATTGAGCAGACCCTCCCGGCTTGCTGCGGGACAAAAATTCTATGTCGACAGCGCGATACTTGGCCGCCTTTGGGAACGGCAGCCTTCTCTGCTTCACGGCCAGGCAGCTGACACACAGCTCACCTCCGTGCTCGATGTGGGGTAGCCTTGGACCATCTTCTCTAGCCAACCAAGCGCGTCAAAGCTGAGATATCCAAACCGGGCATGCCGCCAGGCACATTGGCTGCTCCACCTTTAAGTCGAGCAGGTACAACTGGTTCTGGGACCTCTTTACGTTGGCAAGAAGTCGCTGTTCCCAGTCCCTGATCCTGAGGACTCCGTCGTTGATCAGTACCTCGCTACCGCGCTCATCCAGCTAGCCAATGCTGATGATGCTTGAACGTAGCTGTGAGATATAATATACATCCGTTAGCGCACGGTGCTCGCCGTTTTGGCACCTGAAGATGACGGTGCCATGCCCTTGGATTGCCACCCTTGAGCTATCACCGAACTTCACCGTTCCGGTCATATCGTCGTCGAGCTCAGAGAAGGCTGTTTTGGAGCCCATCATGTGGTTGCTGGCACCAGAGTCCAGATGCCACCGCTGCTCCTACTCGCCGCCCACACGTCCGAGGTGGACTTGGGCGCGTGGTTCATCGAGGTTGACAGCCTTTAGGGTCTTCCTAGGCCCTTTCACCGTCATCACATCTCCCTTCTCCTCGGCCTCGACGTCATGCACTGCACAGAACGTCGCCATCAGGATAATGGCCTCATCATCATCATCATCAGCTTGCGCCAGATGAGCCTCAGCCTTCTTCTCCTAGATTGTGATTTGGGCACTCCCTTGCCCAATGGCCCGTCTTCCCATAGCGTCGGCAGACGTTGGGGTCGACCTGCTTCTTCTTTACCAAAGAAGCCTTGCCGCGGCGCTTGCCATCGCCACCGCGGCTAGAGGAGGCTACCCCGGAGTTCCTCCGAGCAGCCCACTCCTCCTCTGTCAGCAGCAGCTTGCCACTATCCTTCGTTGCTGTCGCCTGCTCCAAGCGCTCATCCATCGCCCGCAGACGGCCTGTCACATCCTCAATGGTGAGGTGGATGTACTTTGCCGGCATGGAGTGGAAGTACTTGGAGACCACCTCCTCTTCATTGATGGTGACGCCGTGGCTCTTCAGCTTGCTAATGTGCGCCTGCAGGCGGAGGGAGAAGTCCTCCATCGATTCATCATCCTTGAACTTGAGGTTGGCGTACTCCTGCTTCAGAAGCTGGGTCGTCGCCTTCTTTGCGCGGTCGGAACCGATGCGCATCGCCGCAATGACCTCCCACGCCTCCTTAGCATAGCTCTTGGCCGCCAATGGCTCCCTGTACTCCGCCGGTACAGCAGCGAGGATAGCCTCCAACACTGACATATCATCTTCTTCATTGTCGGTGCCCTTGTCAATAGCATTCCAGAGCCGCCGGGCTCTGAGCTTGACCTTCATGGTCACCGCCCACTCATCATAATTGGTGCGAGTAAGCGTCGGCCAACTGGTGCCACTGACCTCCCGCATCATGCGCACAATGACCTCCTGTCGTGACTAGTCAGCCATAGCAGCGCCGCTTGTCGTCGCATATCTCCAAACCGTCCGTCATCACCAGCGTTTAGTCCGACGACAATAGCGCTTGTACGGCTCTGATACCACTTGTTGGCCCACACGATCTCCGGCACGGGTGAGTCGGCCACTCACCAGCGTTGCCGACCATGACTATCGTTGTCCGACCACACACTATGGCTAAAGATAGAAGAAGGGGGAGAACAGAGCACACACAGTACAAACATCAGCATTGTCCGGAACTCTGCAGAGGAGATAACAAACTGAACTCGCTCTCTTTACTGAGTTGCAGTGGAAAACTATATATACAACTCTACCCATCTAATTCTAGTACAGCTGTCATGCTGCTATAGTGACTAGATATGACAGCAGGGCTGACTCTGGCGTCTGCCCTTGCTGTGGCTACAGTGCGGCAGGTGAGCCATTCGGCGCCTACCCCTGCAGCGGCTATAGTACCACAGTAGAAAGTCTTTTGAACGCTGCCTTCCTCTGCCGTGTGTTTACACAGAGATGTAGCAGATTCTCTAACACTCTTCCTCGTAGCCTGCTCCAAGGACTGTTCATCCACAAACCACAGTTGCTTCTCTGAGACTCATCTTACTCCGGCAAATAAATTAAATCCGAGCTGGGGAATGAAGTAGATCGATCGCTTAATTTGATGGAGTCAATGTGCCAGTTTGAGGAGTCAACATCGATGGATCCATATTGTCCTTCATATATCTCGTGGTCAGCAATGTCTCCAAGCTTTTTCTGCTATTGCCAAAGAGCTGGGCGTCAGATATGCAACTTGTCAACTTCCTGCAGCAGTCAACATGACTTATATTCCATTCTGGTAAGTGATGACAGATAGATAGATAAAACGATTTTTTGCATGTCATCGGTCAAAAGCCATCTTTCATTATTTTAAAACGAAATTGATGAGTTACACATATGGGTACAGACTGAAGCAACACACAGTAAAGGAAACTACATAACCTACCTACCAACCAGCCATGAAGAAATTAATTAACACCCAAATAAAAGACAAAGGAACAGAGCGAAAAATTCAGCATTTTCCTAACTGAAAAATTGATCTAGCCTATAACAATAACAAATATAAAATGTATGCACACAAAACCAGACTACCATACATATATACACAGAGAAAAACATATATGAGAACTACTACAAGGCTTTTCTGCAAATTCGCAAAAGGATGTGCATCACCTTGGAGGCCTGGACTCCAAAACTTGCATTTTTCCTGCTGATTCCTGAATGCCGGTGGATCACAAGTTGTGTAGCGGGTTGGATCCGGTCGGGGAGAACCTCTTGTCGTCCCTGAAGTCGCCGCCGGATAGGTGGCCGCGGCCCACCCGTGAAGCTGAAGAAACCGAAGAAACGCTCGCGCCGTTGTCGGAGCTGGAGCTGGACGGCTGCTCAGGCGATGTGGGAATGACGTTGCCCAGAAGCGAGACTCCCCTGAGCACGAGAGGGATGAGGGATACCAGCAGGAGGATCTTGAAGCACTTCATCTTGTCTCTCAGCCGTACCCTGTTAGAGCTTGACTGCTGCTACTCCAAGTCTAGTAGCAAGCCCGAGAGAGGGTATGCAGTGCAGGTGGCGAGAGAACTGGTTGGATTTGCCAATGGAAATGCAGAGATGGCAATGTAAATATTCGCCAATGATGCATGGGGAGGGAGAGAGAGAGATGTACTAGTAGAGAGGGAGAAAGACAGAGAAAGGGGCCGGTACGGTAGTCCGTGTGATTTGACGTAGGAGGCGAGCGAGCAATGAGAGGATAGCCTTTGTTGTTTTCTCGAGCCAAAGTGCAGCTTTTCTTCAGGCTTCAGCTCCGCATCATGCATGCATGTGTTTACTGATTGTACCGGTAGGAAAACGTTTCGTCCACGAATAAAGAACAGTGTTGGCATGCATCTGTATGTCCGATTGAGACGTGTGATGATACGTGAATCTTCAATCAGCGGCCCGTTCCTGACGAGGATAAAAGAATTGGCAGTAACCGGGTTAGTTACGGTGACACATATATACAATACAGTGTGGGTAAAGTAAAAAAGAGAAAGAAAAACTTTCAGTGTTGCGTTTTCGTTTCTGTTTTCCAAATCAGTGAACGTACTGACTTGAAGTATTTGCGTTGGTGTTAGTTTGAGATATGGCCATATGGGAGATTGAAAGCAAGGCACATGGATGGATGAATGACAGCAATTATTGGGAACTCCATCCATGCCTGATCTTTCAGTCTGCTTGGCCAGACTTATATTGGGCCTGCAAACAAACAAACACCATGCATGTTCAGTCTGCTCACCCTGAATTCATCCAATTGCCCTGCTTCATGCAGCATTGCTGCGCCTGCACAATAGTCTCTGTAAACAGCGCATTTGATGCGAGGATCCAGTGATCAGCGACCACATTTGACCGCATGCGAGTACGAGCCGGCCGAATCCAGAATCCTTGTAAGCAACAGTAGCTATACAACCACGAAGGGTTCCATCCATCAGCAGCCACCAAACTCTGTCTCCTCTCTTGCATTCGCTGTCGTCTTCGATCTGTCATCTGACTGATGGCTCCACGAGCGCGCGCGCGCGGGCGTGCAGTTCAGGGTCCGGAACTGGAAACCGGAGGCTAGCGATGTGAGGGTAGACCACATTACCGTGCCAACAAAGGCCAAGTTCCTGTCCAGACGCTAGCTAGGAGCCTAGGCTACACTACCACTACTACAAACTCGAATACTCGTGTGTGTGCCGAATTTTTCTATGTGTTTTTTTTCGGGACGCATAGGCACAGAAAATATTTTTCCATGGGTATTCGTATTTTTCTGTGAGTTTTTGCACACACACAAGTATTCGAGTTATCAGTAATGTACATGCAAGTACTTCTTCACAGGCAACATCACAAGGTTCACAGAAATTTACAATAGTATGGTGCACGCGGTCTGCTGCCTGATTGTCTCACTGCTCTGAAATCTGAATCTCTGATGCATGGCATAGGTAACGCTGAGCAAAAACTGCAGGCAGATGCCTTTAACATATGCAGCGTAATGTTGGCCCAAAGGATCGTCGGGTCAGGTGAGTCTTACCGACCACGACAAACGTTGTCCGACCATACATTATGGCTAGAGGTAGAAGAAGTGAGGGAGAACAAAGCATACACACAGCAGAGACATCAGCGTTGTCCGAAGCTCTGTATAGGAGATGTCAAATATGAACTCTCTTTTTACTTAGTTACAGTGGTAAACTATATATACAACTCTATTCATCTAGTTCTAGTACAGCTGTCATGCTGCTACAGTCACTAGATGAGACAGCAGGGCTGACTCTGGCGCTTGCCCCTGCTGTGCGGCAGGTGAGCCGTTCGGTGCCTGCCCCTGACAACGGCTACAGTACCACAGCAGAGAACCTTTTCGGCGCCGTCTTCCCTTATCGTGTGTTCACACAAGGAAACAGTAGATTATCTAACACGTAATTCATGGTTCGCAACTCGTGCCTCATGGTGCTTTCGGTGATTCTAGTTCATCTTGCAGGCCAGACGTATGCAGAGACAAGCGTACAATAACTTTTTTAACTGTAACGGGGGAGAGAAAATCTCCATCAGGATAGTATTGATATAATATCAACAGCCTCGTTTTTAGGGAACGAGACAAAACCCTTTGTCCAATTAAATTTGAAAAAACGGGCGGAAACTAAACAACAGCCCTAACACAAGGGCAAGATTATGGCATATCCACTAAAAAGAAAAAACAACACCACGCCCCAGCACAAGGGCCACACAACTTGGCACGCCGCTGTGGTCGCCGCTATGTACTCTGCCTCGAACGTAGATAGCGCTACTACCTTCTGTTTCAGCGATAGCCATGAAATTGAAGCCGACCCGAGGAAGACGAGCACGCTAGAGGTGCTTCGTCGTCCGTCGATGTCCCCCGCCATGTCTGCATCGCTGAACACAGTGAGCTGCAGCCTACTTTCACCGATCTTGGGGAAGACGATCCCTTGATCCACCATCCCCTTGATGTAGCGCAGTAGCCGCTTCACCGCAGCCCAGTGATCCTCTCTGAGATCCTCCATGAAGCGGCTGACGTAGCCCACGGCGAACGCAATGTCTGGCCTCGTGTGGACTAGGTAGCGCAGACCGCCGACGATGCTTCGGTAGAGTGTTGCATCTACCTTCGCAGCGGTACTGGCCTTCGTCAGCTTCAGCCACTCCTCCATCGGAGTCACGCATGGCTTGCACTCAGCCATGCCGCTCCGCTCCAACAGCTTTGAGGCGTACGCGCTCTGACCGAGCGTGAGTGCCTCCTTCCCCTGTCTCAGCTTGATGCCGAGGTAGTAGGAGAGCGCCCCGAGATCGCTCATTCAAAAATGAGCCGCCATCTTGCACTTGAAGCTATCGATGTCCTCCGCACGCGCATCGATGATGATCAAGTCGTCCACATACACATCGACTACGAGCTCCCCCTTCCCCCGTCGCCGCTTGTAGAGCATGTGCTCGGTTGCGCACCTAGTGAACCCAAGCTCGCCCAGCGTGGCGTCAAGCTTGGCATTCCACGCTCGTGGGGCCTGCCATAGCCCGTAGAGCGCCTTGCACATTCGGAGTACCCTGTGCTCCACTCCCTTGACGGCGAAATCCGAAGGTTGTTTGACAAAGACCGTCTCCGCCAGCTCGCCGTTGAGGAAGGCCGATTTTACGTCCAAATGATGGACACGTCAGTCCTTTGCTGCTCCCAAGGCTAGTAGCAAACGGACAGACTCCATGCGCGCTACTAGCGCAAAGACTTCGTCGAAGTCGATGCCCTCGCGTTGGACAAAGCCTCGGGAGACGAGTCACGTCTTGTGCTTGACAATGGCATCGTGCTTGTCCCGCTTGACCTTGTACACCCACTTCAGGCCGATCGAACGGCATCCTGTAGGTGGATCGACAAGCTCCCAAGTATCGTTTTCTTCGATCACCTTCATCTCCTCATGCATCGTCTGTCGAAAATCTCCATCGCGCTCGGCCAGTGCGAACGTGGGTGGTTCCTCTGCACCAACGAGCAGCAGCTTTGGGTCATTGAGCAGCCGACCCGCCAGGCCTAAGGGCCCTATGCCGCTAATGATGTCGTCCAGCCAGCGGAACCGCACCTCCTCACCATCGTGGAAGGCATCCACGAACTCAGTGATGTCACTTGGAGGTGAGGCGAACTCGATCAGTGTTGATGGAGTTCCCTGTTCCGCCGGAGTGATTGGCACAGCACCTGGAGTGCTCGACACCCCGGATGCAATGCACCCCTCCCAGAGTGCTCGGCACCCATCTTGCAGTGGTCGGCACCAATGCAAGACCCCTCGGGTACGCTACGGGAGTGTTTGGCACCCATCCTAGAGTGGTTGCCACCACTGTAGGACTTCCCGCTCCACTCCTAGAGTGCTCGGCACTCCTCCAAGAGTGCTCGGCACCTCTTCCCCAGCATCTCCACCACCATGGATGACCAAGTGCTCGACGACAAAGCTGTTGGTGAAGCCACCAGCTTCCCCCATGCTCGGACTATTCTAGTCTCAGGCCGCCTTCTCGTCGAACACAATGTCGCGCGAGACAAGCACCATGTCTCTACGTGGGTCATAGAGCCGGTATGCCTTGGTACCCTCCTCATAGCCTAGGAACACCATCGGTGTGCTTCTGTCCTCCAGCTTGGTTAGGACCGGCTTCGTCTTCCTGATGCGGCCGATGCAGCCGAATGTTCGGAGGAAGGACACGCTCGGCTTGCGTCCATGCCAAGCCTCGAATGACGTCTTGCCCTTCAGGGCCTTGGTGGGAGCGCGGTTGAGGATGAACACTGCCTCACCCCAGAACCTTGCCGACATGCCCTTGGCCTTCATCATGGATTGAGCCATGCCGACCACCGTTTGGTTCCATTGCTCCACCATGCCAATTCTGCTATGGCGAGTACGGCACGGTGTGGTGTCAAACCACACCTTGATCCGCGTAGTACGCAGCGAACTCCACCGAAGTGAATTCGCTGCCGCGATCAGTTCTCAGCACGTGGAGCTTCTTGCCACTCTCGGCCTCCGCTCGCATCTTGAACTTCTTGATCGCCGCTGCTGCTTTGTTCTTGCTCGTCAGGAGTTGCAGCCACATGTAGCGGCTGTAATCATCCACAAGCAGGAGAAAGTCCCACCAACCACCGTTTGTGGCTGGCGTGATTGGCCCGCAGAGATCACCGTGGACGAGCTCGAGAGCGTCCGCCGCGCGATACTTGGCTGCCTTTGGGAACGACAGCCTCCTCTACTTCCCGGCCAGGCAGCTGTCACGCAGCTCGCCTCCGTGCTCGATGTGGGGTAGCCCTCGGACTATCTTCTCTAGCCGACCAAGCGTGTTAAAGCTGAGATGTCTGAACTAGGCATGCCACAACCACGGTTCCTCGGTGTACCTTGCTACTAGGCATAACAGCTGCTCCACCTTCAAGTCAAGCAGGTACAACCGGTTCTAGGACCTCTTTACCTTGGCAAGAAGTCGCTGCTCCCAGTCTCTGATTCTGAGGACTCTG